TATCGCTCCCCTTCCGTAAACATGTTGTTCCTATCGATTGGACTGGGCCGATCAGCCGTATCGCGCCCCCGTATATGTTTAGGGTTCGACCCACCCTACCCGTTCCAACCCCTTTCTCTTCTCGAAAGAGAAATATTATATTATATAATGATAATTCAAAATTGCTGTCATTTATTCTTTGTCACACATTACAGCTATTAATTCGTATAAAATCAAAGCAAGTTATGGGCTCTCTTTTGCTTTATAATTATTTATGCATTGATGTGCGCACTACAAGGTATTTCTTACCCCACTGTTCAAACGTAACTCGTCAGCGTTAGAGCATCTTCCCTGAAATTGAAAAGAATATAACAGAAATTTATTGCGTCAAAAAAACTTTTTAAGTTAATAATTTTAAACTAACCTTTTAAGACACAAATAGTAACAAATCGTGTCGGTTTAGATATACTGAGGGAACAGAGGCAAAAAGCCTATTTCCGAATAGCGCCAAGTCGAGGCTTCGTATCAACTTTGCTATAGAAACCGATCACAATTTATGTCATTTCTATAATTATATGGAAGATGTAATCTATGTCCTCTTTTGCTTTTTGGGTGATGCTTCAGTAACTACCTATACATCATTTTAATTTAAGTCTAACCTTTTCAGGAATCGCAGAATCACCAATCAAAGTATACCATTGAAATTGACCATTCTCATCTTGGCTTTTGTACTCCATACATCTGTTCCAGACTCGTTTTGGAAGACGTGATCTCACCCAAACCCAGGCATATACTGTCTTTGCGCCAATAATAGTACCACCATTTATCGCATTACATTTTGTGTCGCAGTAGTTTGCTGTTCCACCAGCTGGGCCAAAACATCCACAGCACTGTGTTGAATATATAGATTTCAAACTCATTAATAATTCACGAGTAAACCAACCGTATTTGACGTATTGCTTTATTTTGCTCACATGATATGATGATAATACTGGATACCTGGTGTGTATTAATTCAGTCCTTGGACTGGATCAAAATTAATGGTATGAGATGTCATTTCAAATCCAGATCTCCAATTCGGACTGGACTAGATTTCGAGTCATAAGTTTATGTTCAATTGGCCTGACTTCACACAATTCAAAGCTAAGGTGCCAAGCTGACATTATTTATATTGAATAATTTCGTCCATCATTAATTGCTCTCTCCTTGGGCAGTATTACTACAGAAATCCAAAACTAAACTAAATAACGTGATCGGTTCTAAATCGTTCTCTCTGGAGGTCCAGTAAGGGTTATCCCTTATTTATCAGGAAGAAGAAACCTAAACTAATGTAACTTTTATATTTAAACTGGATAGCTCAATGGTTCTGAGAAGTTTCCCTGAGAGATCGAGTGAGAGCCATACCTAACAGCTACAGTATAGGTATGCAATAATACTACCTGGAGGGAACCTGAGGTGTACGCGGTAAAGTCAAACTGGACTATTGAAACGTTGGTCGCAGAGGGTAAAGGCACATACATAGAGAACTTTGCCATTGTCCGGATCTTTAATTAAAGCGTTTTTCAAGACAAGTTTCAAAAGATAGGGATGCGTGCTATATACCTTGCCATGTAAGCATCCGACATAGGCAGTTGCGTTGTTGTATATTCCCGATTTTGTGGTTGACACACTATAGCTGTAAAAATTAATATAACAATAAGCTGATGTCCCGTGTTTTACTCCATGCAGTAATAGTTTTTCAGTGTTATTCATTTTTGCTAGCTTCATGCTTCCAGTGGCCCAAATTTTTGGTCGACCTTTATAAAGAATTTTAATGTTGAAAAGATTCACAAATTTCTCATAATTTGAAATATTACTGAATCACTTTGGTTTACTAGAATTTTAATAGACTTGCTCTAAGTTCGCGGCATGTGTTTTCCATAAAGGATTTTTTTCTAAGCATTCCAATATTTACGAAATAGAAGTTTGCTTTTATGGTTATTTTGAAATGGGATTAGCAGTACGAAACGTCTCTCAAAATATAAAAGTGATGGGTTCTGCCGAGGGTTCTGCTACATTTTTCTCGCGTACGGTTATTACTAAATACACAATTCTGAAAATTATTAAGCATAAAAGATGGATTCCGCTTTTTTATACATCCTGTGTACTGCGCCTACCTAAACACGCCATTTTCTTCAAATTTAATTGGCTTCTGTCCAGGAAAATGAAGATATCCAGATCCTCCGCAAGGCTTTTTCAAACATTGATTCATCATTGACTAAAATTTTTCAAAATATTTGTACCATTTATAGGAATAACTATAGAATACCACGCCACACCAAGTGGTTTACTTTGTTGGCGCCACGATCTGCCATATGGCTACCTGGCTGGATGTACCATGTGGCCACATCCAATAACAATTTCCTATTGCGAGGTATTCCATCTATAGCTGTACCCATTTGTATTTAGAAATTAATTTATTAATGTATAAGACTTTTTATGCATATACCCATCCAACTTTTATAAAAGAAGCCGTATTTGGACCAAACACCGAGCACTTAAAGTTTGTTGTCGCAATTTTTTCTGCCATCAAATCATTCACATATGCAATATCTCCAACTCCAGGCGAGAGAGCATCACACCCGCGGTCTGTGATCATAAGGTTTGCCAATTTCCTTGTATTCTTCAGTCTGAATGACCTATGTAAGTGTAAATGTGATTATCATGTACAAACACAATAAATCGTCCCTTACATTTTTTCTCTCAGAATACCCCCTTTCATATCACCCCCCCCCTATCCGGTGATCCCCCTCTCTAATAAACTCCCCTTTTAAAGGAAGCAATTTATTAGTCATTCCCCTTCCACAAAAAATATATGTGTGCTGACTAGATCTATTAACTGCCATGGAATTTCACGTTATTTTATAAAGTGAACAGACTGTAAATGCTAGTTATTTTTTTACCGAATTTGTGGTTAAAACATTTCCGCTACAAGCTAATTCCCCGCTGGTAAACGTGCCAAGAATAAATAGGAGCTTAATACAAGTCGTACGGTACTTTCATTTTTAGTTTTATATTCTGGGTTTACCAGAAGAACACCTTTAATTTTTAGCACACATTTAATATCACAAGACTTAGAACCTGACATTATTATTACCAATGTGCTTTCGTGTTATCAAATGAATCGCTTGTCGATAACTGAATCCTAAAATCCAAGATGGGAGCATCTCCAAGCTGACTTGTCCAGTACGTTTCCGAACTGTCGGGCTCCACGGGCTGGTCTTTAGAAGGGACATCCCACATTATTGCATTATGTTTTCGAGCGACGAGCATGTATCCTCCCCCATTCGTTTTCATATCACACCACACCTGTTTACAAAGGAGGCATATAATGATTACAAATCCCTCAGAGGTCCTATAAAGGCCATAAAGCTCGGCGCACACTAGAGCTATATATGTGCTTAGCAAAATGTCATTCGTTAAGAAAGAAACTTAAACTAAACTAATGTTTTCATAGTGAATAGCTTTAATTTGTCAGTTCTAACTGTTCTCCAATCTCCATTGAGGTACAAGCTGGGGGTAAGGGGCATATCTTGTTGAATATTGGTACAATGCTACTATAAGCAGTGACGTAGCTAGGATTTCTAGTCAAGGGGACCGAAAAAATCCCTGGAGGAGCCCAGGCAATTTTACCCTGCGGTAGTTCAAATAAAATTTGTTTATTACGTGAAAATATATTCAGACTTCTACACTATCCATGCATAATATAGTACAATGACGTTTTAGGGGGGTCTGGGGGTATGCTCCCCCGGGAAAATTTTTAAATTCTAGAGTCGGTAAAGTGCCATTTCCAGCATGAGTTTTGATGATTTTAAATAACTATTTAACACATAACAACTCTACTTAATCACAGACGAATGTAGAACATTTAAAATATTGGAAGATGTAAAATTTCCATAACAAGAAATGAGAATATAATGTACATGCTTGTACTGGTCAGAATTTCTCCAAGTGGGCCCCACTATTTTACCAGGCTACGTCACTGACAATTAGAGGAGAGCTGAACGAAAGTTACTTTATTTATACTGATAGTTCTACCAGTTCTAAACTGTTATACTGTTCTCCATAGAAACAAGGTGCATGAAGACCATTCCTTATTCAATGGTTTAGTTCCAGAATTAAGGGGCTATTCCTTTCACCCTTACTGGTCCACTGTTTTGAAATTAAAATTTACTTGTACTAACTTTTCGTTTCGTGGCACCTCCCAATGTTATCCAGTAAAACCCGTCTTGAGCATCTAGTTCGTGATCCAGAATATCCGAGCAGTCATAACCAGGGTAAAGAAATTCACCAAGATAAGCATCACCTAAACACATAGAAAATACAAGTTACTAGTTCACGAAACTCAATTATTAGTACATCAAACTTTCACCTCTAAACTGGGTTAGATTCCAACAATATGCAGTTTTCTGATCATAAAATTACCTCAGTTTCATGAGAGGAGAGCTATAGTGTTTCCAGTTTTACTCTATCAAACACGGCAGAGGTTTTTTTGGGTAGTTCAAATTAGTTTAGTTTAGGTTTTCTCCTATGGTAACACTTGGTCAATGGGCATGAATGTCTAGGGAAAATTACAGTTTAGAACTGATAAGCTAACCAGTATAAATAAAATTACGCACTCGTTTTAACCTGTCGACCCTATCCCTTATTTTACAAGTACGCACCTTTGAAAGGCTTCCACAAGTAATTTCCGTTCTCCTTGCTACAAATCCACAATTTCTTATCATTTTTCCTGTCATTTACCGAGTACACTTGGAGAGCATTGCTCTTGTCACATGAACCTGGATCATAATCATCAACATCTGTAATGTCCTAAAGTTTTAAACAAAAGATACTGTAACTGTTGGTTTATCTTCTCAAATGCGTGAGTCCAGTGTAGGTAGTATATTATACTATAATCTGCCGTGGTTTGTGTCCGAACTACCTGACTTGAACACATCTCAAAAGTGTGCGTGTGGGAGGGGGAGCAGTGTAGATGCTTTTGTTCAATTAATAAGTTGTCGTTCATTTGTGGCTGAACTACCTGAAAAAAAGTCAAATCAGTTCAACGTCTCGAGCGAGAATGTTTCGTCAGGAGTATCCATTACTAACCTGTAAAGACAGACCTAAGACTATTTAAACTGCTCTGCATGCATGGAGATTAAGACGATTAAGCAAGACCTTCCCTTATTAGTCCCGTTTTACTATAGGCAGGAGGAAACCTAAACTAAACAACTTCATTTGCAATATGTATAATGTTCATAGCTTCTCTAGGCGTCCAGTAATAGCCATCATCCCTATTGGTCCCACGTTGCTACAGATAAAAATCTAATTAATTGGTGAGCTCTATCAGTTCTAATCTATTCTTCCTAAAGGTCCTGTAAGAGCCAATCCTTATGACATCCTGACTAAGGACCTTTCGCGCGCGAAAGGTAAAGGTTCGGTATTAAGCTAGTGTTTTAGATCGGGATACTTCTAACACTGACCACAAAAGCTTGATATAGAAAATCTAACTCCTACCACAGCCACTGGACATATGTATATCCAACAAAGCACCAAAAGAAGGATTGCCACAAAATTCATTTTGTTCTCTGCTTGATCGCGTTGAAAAGGAACAACTCTTCAAATTAGCGCCACCGGGTTCTTTTATAATCTAGCCTACTCGTGAGAGAAGACCCTTATGACTAACTTCAATAGATTTGACTAGCGTTTATTTTTTTAGCTATTAAACTGTTTTATTTAAAAAAAATTTATTTAGTTTGTAACTATGCGATAGTTAGGATAATTAAGAGTTTGCAGAGTTTTCAAATACTCCATTAATTAGGGGGTAAAAATATACTTGTCACTCCGCTTATGTGTAATGTGGGAATATTTCATATGTTCGATCTTGGCAGTTTATTCCAAGAATCAAGATAATATTGTTTAATTAAGAGAGAAATCACAGTTTTTAATAATAAAATAGGTTTGCATTCTCTGCTTCTTGAAGAGATAAACTTATAGAAATAGCTAAAAAAGTAAAATGCAATGAAAGATACACACATGAGAAAGACTGAAAGACATTTCCTTCCGTCATCTGTCCCAGGCAAATAATCTATTTTGCCTCTTGCTCTTACTGTATTATAGTGTATTTTAATACACTATAATACAGTAATAAAAGTAGTGTGTAAATAATAATAATAATAATAAATAATAATAATAATAATAATAATAATAATAATAAGTAATAAAGTAGTAATAAAAGTAGAGTAGTAAGAAAGTAGTGTGTTTAAAAACACCAGACAAACTATCAAGACAAACTAGCTACAATCCTGATCAAAAATCCTTGGCACATTGCCACACTCGGTAAAATAGCTACTTCCTGTGAACAGTGTAGAACTGCATGATAGATTTATCCCATATCATAATAATCATCATGCATGAATTAGTTTAGGTTACTTCCAAAAAGAGATGACATTTAACTGGCCATAGACATGTTCTCTAGGGGTATCTAACGTCGATGTTCTATTTATATTTTTCAGGTAGTTGTATATCCTTCACATCGCAGCTTTCTGTATGTTATCGTACCTGCATTGGCATTGACGTTTCGAGATTTTTATATAGAACTGATTCAGCTATCCAGCTAGCATAAATAAAGTTTGTTTAGTTTAGGATAATATAGGTATTTGACAATGCATGTCAATGAAATTATTTCATGCGCACTGTTTTCTTTCCAGTGAAATTATTAATTTGCAGTTTACAGAATAGAATAATAGATGTTTGTGTGATGTTACTCTGAGTGTATATCCACACCGGGCAGGCCCGAAAAATATGCCTGGCCACGGCGGGATTCGAACCTACGACCTTTGGAATACTAGCCCAATGCTCTTCCAACTGAGCTACGCGGTCAGGACGGTTCGAGTATGCGATATTTCGGAAGTTCCTTCGATATCAGTGTAATCTAATAATCATGAAATCTGCTGTGTTGGTGTAATGTACTCAGGTGAATAAGATGTTTGTGTGATGTTACTCAGAGTAACATCACACAAACGTCTTATTCACCTGAGTACATTACACCAACACAGCAGGTTTCAGAATAATAGATGTTTAAAATTTTTGTTAAATTAATTTTTGTGTAATGCGGATCAATATGCAGATCTGTTGAACAATGTCAATAACCGTATCGCTGCGCAGATGATATTTCTCAGACTCGGTCTGTAAAGTTTTATTTAATTATAATTAATCAAGTAATGAGAAAGTTCCATGTAGTTTGTTATACAGTGGGGGTTAAAAGTCTGAGTTCAGTCATTATGATTTTGCCTTTTATTGATATACAATATATTCTTACACAACACACCACTATATGTGCGTCGAATAAGGATTTTACATCAACGTTGGAATTGATTATACTATATTAGCCAAGTCAACATTATTTTAATATTTTGTGTGACCTCCTTTTGATTTTAAAACAGCTTCAATTCTTCCTGTCATAGCCATAGATTCAACAAGTTTTCTTATAGTAGTGATGGTTTAAGGTTATTCCGGCATTATTGATCCATGACATCCCATAGGTTGGTTGTCTTTACTTGTAGGATTATGTTTCACTTTCTCTCGTTTGAAATGTTCCCATAATTATAAATTCTCAAAAGGATTTATAGGATTTTAGGTCTGGAGGTTGAGGAAGAAATCCATAACAACCAGATCACCTTTCTCTTGCTCCCTAATTATTAAATAATTTTTACGAAACAAAAATATCACTCCATCCTTCAAAGACAAGCCATACCATCTAGCTTAAGGTTGTGTGGATAGGGGAATTGTCTTGCAACGCGGGATAATGATCCCAAACACACTTCTCACATGTGTAAAAATTATTGAAGAAGGAAGCAAGAGAAAGGTGATCTGGTTGTTATGGATTTTCCTTCTCAATCTCGGGACCTAAATCCTCTTGAGAATTTATGGGATCATTTGAAACGAGGGAAAGTGAGACATGATCCCACAAGTAAAGAAAACCTATGGGATGTCCATAATCAATGCTGCATGGAATAACCTTAAGCCAGTAGTACTTAATAGAACACTTGTTGAATCTATGCCAGGAAGAGTTAAAGCTATTTTAAAATCAAAAGGAGGTCACACAAAATATTAAAATAATGTTCACTTGGCTAATATAGTATAATCAATTCCAACGTTGATGTAAATCCTTATTTGACGCACATATAGTGCTCTATTGTGTGAAAATATATTGTATATCAATAAAAGGCAAAAGCATATTGACTGGACTCAGACTTTTGACCCCCACTGTAATTATACATACATGTTAAATATTTGGTTTATACGCAGGCCAAGGGCATAGTCGCAATTAGATTAAATAATTGCTGTAATTGATAATAAAACAAAATTTTCTGTTGTCTTTTTGATTTTGTTGATTAGGATGAAAATAATTACCTTTGGCTTTGTCAACTACTAATGTCAACAAAGCAACTGTTTCCAAGAAAACATCATTTACATGAAAAAAGCTATGCAGAGAAAAGGACACCTGACGTTATCAATTACACTGTTGGAAAACTACATTTTTCTAGTAAAACTGTCTGTACCAGTGTGGGCAATACTAATGTGAAAATGCTGTGCTGAGTGGTTATATTTTACCTGCTACTAACTCTTGACGAAGGGCCTTCGCTCGAAACGTCGAGTTTCTGTTTGTTTTTTTCAGGTAGTACTACTGTAAACCACTCAGCAGACAGCACATTATTATTTTTCTATAGTTATATATTACAGTGTCAGTGGAATTGTGAACGAGAGGCTGTTCAAGCACCAATAATAATAATCTTGAACTACGAGATCTTCTCGAGAACACTCGAGTTAAATAATTGTTTTAGCCGGCGTTCATGAACTTTCGTTTAAGCTTACACTTAGTGATCTAATTCGTTTAAGCTATCACTGAGTGATAAAATCATCTTTCCTTCTATCCTGTCCGGCAAACCGGGATCACCATGTTACCATGTAATGGTTCATACTGCATACACAATACAATACTATGAAATTAACTATGCTTGTGATTGAGGTCAAAATCAAGGGGGGGGGGGGGTTAAT